GGTCCAAATTCCGTTCTTCACCGTAACAAGCAATGGTGCTGCTCTGTCACCAATCACGGGTGTGTTTTTAGTGATGAGACGGGCGTCTTACCTATGGAGGTGCCAAACACCATTGCGCAGATACCAACTCTAACCTTTCCAAGTTCGCATATACGGTGAACCTCAGTAATATGACGTCTGAAGGGTTTCATCGTTTCTAACATCGCAGCTGTGTACGATTCAGGCTCCAGTGGCTTTGTCGCCATGGTAGCACTGCAGCAATAGTTAATGTGAACATTCAGTCAAGGTTTGGAACACCGATGTAAACCTTGAAGCTTGATTAGAGAAACTTCTTTCATGTCAAGAAATTAGCACGTAAAAAGAAGATTCGCGATTATCTATTGCCCATCGTACAGGACCGGAGATGAGAGTTGTGACCAGAGGGTGACTCAGTTACAATAGCCCCTTTTGCAGCTAGTCACGGCGCCACCAGCCATCTACGGCAAGTACCTTCTTCCTTTACTAGGTGTTTTGGGTTGGTGTCTAGTCATTGGAACAGCAATTACTGCAGTCCTTTAAAAGCGCGTTTACTTACAGCCGTCACGGAATTGCCCATTAGCTACTCCGTTGCATTGAGAAAATGTAATTTTCTGACTGTGTCGAGGGCAATCCTTTTTCCCTCTTTCGCTTTCATCTCAATTGTTAATCCCTTCCTAGATATATCACGAAGGTGAAATTCGTCCAAAATCCATTTTTCCGCACAAGTTTTACCAGGAATTTATCACTTCGGTCAGTTTTTGCACGTCGTTAGTGCCAAATATTCACGCACCTCATTGATTGGCCGGAGTTACACCAATCAAAGACGTCGTCATCAGTTGCTGTGGTCCTACCGTTCGTCACTTAGCAGCAGGGGTATTTTTAGGAAAGGCATGAACCTACGCAGTGGCATCGCCACATCGGGTAAAAGGCAAATCCTCCTCGCTGTGGACGGATCAGAGAACGCTAAGTTCGCGTTCAGGTGGTACCTTGAGTGGTCTCGACGACCTGATGATGGAGTCCTCTTCTTTCATGTCTTTGAACCACCCTCGCTGCCCGCCATTACGTTGACAAATCCCAGTTCTATCCCAATCGAGGAGTGGAGTAAGATTCTGAAGGCGCGGGTGGACAGCGTCAATCGACTCCAGGACGACTACATCGCGGAAGGCAGGGCTGTCGGTTTGAATTGTGAGTTCTTGAGTCAACCGTCAGAAAAGATTGGGGATGCGATTGTCGAACAGGCTGAGAAAGTTGGCGCCCATCTCATCATTATGGGAACGCGGGGATTAGGACCTATTCGACGAACTCTTCTTGGCAGCGTCAGTGACTACGTTATCCACGAGGCCTCTGTTCCAGTCACAGTTGTACCAAAAGTTTGATCACTTGTTCAAATTCTGTGCACCATTGCCCTCGGAATAAAGGCCAGTCCATTGCTTTTGACTTTTCATATATTTCGTAAATCTGTGGTTATTAATCGTTGATTTTTTATATCTTTAAATATAAGAGGACCTAAGAGCACCATCCAGCCTAACTGCGGGCTACCATTGTGAATTACTTAGTTTCATTCGTAATTAAAACATGATGCTCATTTCTGTTTTATTTAATTATATATTGACCTGAGTCAGCGCTAAAATATGGGGTTTTAAATGCCCTTTCCTTTGCTGATATGTGTCTTGGTCAGTGGAACAGACAGCATTAGGAACTTTGACCCCTTTGAAAGGAGACACAAAATTGCTGCTTCCACAAATCTCACCCAACCCCATGCAACTCTCTACTATTTCGTGTGGCCATATGATTGCCCGAGTACACGGAATACACAAGGTGGTGGAGAGGATGGGGATGAAGGTAGTCGGTTTACTTTCCTATCCCAACTGAGGTTCCCTATGAAGTTTTTTCATGGAGAGGTTTTTTAGTGGGATGATGTGTGATTCGCTAGTCCGTAGCCGCTAGTCACCCGTCACTGGTCGCAGCTATTTCTGAAGAAGGGGAAAAAGTAAAAGGAAAATTTTTCTTACTCGCCTTCTAGTTGTATCGATTTGTGTCATTTAGGCAGATGTCAGCCATAATCGTTGATTGGCCATAGGCATGGACAAGTGAACAGTTTGTGTCTATAGTCCACTAGACTCACACTCACAGACAGGGCGTAACCCTTTGAGGATAGAAGTGATGTGTGTTTCAGTGACCCAATCACCCGAAAATAACCGACGATGTGTTTTACTTCGTTTTGCAAACACAATGCACTGCCCAAGAGGTTAATCATTGCCTTATTTTCCCCCAGAGAGGGACTGGCCATTATTTGCCTTCGCCAGTAATTCTGCTTCTGGGAGAAAAATCGCTTTTTCCATTAGTGACATAGAACTCCTACTGAATAAAGGTGAATTGGCAAAAGTTTTTGTGGGTCTTTTGTGCTTGTTTTGAAGAACTTTCTAACATAAATCAAGCAATCAAATTCTAGTGGGAGAAGCTATTTCTTGTGATATCCTAACCATTTAAGTCCCGTGCTTGTAAGGCCATACATTGAATAAAGCTTCTTCATCCATTTGTTTAATTTAAAGGTACATTTACTTTAGTGAATTTCTGTTCCTCTTTAAACGAAAAGCTTAATTTTTGTGTGTTAAATGCACAGGCAACTTGAAATGCTTCACCCAACACGGTGTGAATGGCTAATGAGCGCAATGGGAGCTGACATTCCGACACTAGGTATTTCTACTTGAAAAGCTATTTTCTCAAAATACTGGAGTTTAATTTTACAAAATTGTTTAATGAGTCGTTTCAAAGTCGAAAAAGGTAAAAATAAATCTTTATCAAGATTTGTGAAGTTATTATGGGCTTTCAAATCCCTCACTAAGTGCTTTATCCCATTCTGGTACGAGGAGAGGAAAATGCGCTCTTTAATTTCAGATTATGAAAATGCTTTTTCTAGAGCTGCCGACAACATGACCCTTTGTTTTTGGGGATAATTTTAAAAAATGCTAAGGCATTCACAACGTTTCTACGTCCTTTAGAATCGGGCAGTCGGGTAAGTTCGTTAGAGGGAAGGAAGAAAGGCTGCTCTTGTTGTGGAGAAAAAATGGGCGTCTAATCCGTAAAATAAGCCCATATAAAATGAGTACCGCTTGACATTTTAGGAGTTATTGCATTAGACTCATCGATGAGAGTGTCTTGTATATTCTGGAACTTGAAGGGGAGGCATTGCAAGTGACTTCCCAAGGTAAGGAGAGATCAAGTGCCTTACAGTTTGGATAGTGTTGAGATTTCTCTAATGATCAGGAGATAAGATTTAGAGCATGAATAGCAATAAATTGTAGTACTTTGATTATTTTTTACTCTTTGTTTCGGTTTCTAGGATAATAAAGACTCAAGGATTGTGCTTTCACTGGCTGACACGGCCTTTTCCCCATGTTAGTAGCCCTCTCCTCCCCACTCAGAGAACCTTCCTGTACGTCGACAATACATATTCTGCCCTAGTGTTATGACCTGCCCCGTCTGCAGGAAAGACTAGAACACCATAAAATATTTTCTTTTATAGACTTGAGAATATCTTTAGCAGGCGCTAACCCACATTTGTGAGGCCTGTAGTCAATTCCTTTGCTTTATCACCATATGTCATCCTAATTTTTCGCCCACGTAGGTGATCAAATTGAGACACACACAAAGCCATTTCTAAGGGCATTATTTAATCAGAAATGTGCTTCTTTTGGAGTATTTTATTGAAAATTCGTACAGACTACTATTGCTTCTCTTTGCTCTCAATGTAGCTTTCCGAGTCTTTGCCGAAGGCATAATAAAGCGGGCGAATGTAAAAGGATTGTTTACTATTGACGTACAAAAGGCCTGCGAGGCTATAAACATGCCACAAGAAGGAAATCCAAACAGTAGAAAAATTTTCAAATGTAATCCAAGACTGCAAATTTTTAGTCAATAATTATTTCTAATTCAAAAATGGTGTAATCTCATTTCGAAATTCCATAAAAATGAGTGATATCCAGACACGTATTTTCAACCTGCAAATTATAAATTAGCCTATTTTCTGGGTAATAATGAATGCGACGTATATTTATATGGCAAAAATGTTAATCTCGGGTGTTATAGAGTTTTACCTTAAGTCAAAATAGAGTCATAACTACCAGAACAAAAAAATTATTACTGATGTACAGAAGGGCTGAGATGCCACTCGAACGGTTCAGATGCCATGCCGCTTAGCTTAAGTACAAAAGCGGAGCCTCAAAATCCCACGAAGCTAAAAGGAAGAGTAAAAGGGACAAAGTATTACACAGTCCTCTCTTCTCCTTTAAGCGTTGTCCACGGCGTTCCCCTTGGTCGAAATTCACGACGTAGTATATTCTGTGAAAAATGCACTCACAAACCCATTGCGCCTGTCACTGAGAGGATATCTACCTACATTGCTACTAATCCACTTCGGTCATTCCACTGGATGTGGAGGTTCGTCCTGTCTAAGAAATGCGTTGGGGAAAGGGAAATGCGTAGGCTGTCACTTACGTCTGTCGCCATTCACATGATTAATGTCCTCATTCAGGTGCCGTAAAAAGTTATTATCAGATTTTTTTAAATGATTTAAGACCACAACTAGTGTTGCTTTGATAGTTTACCTTTCACTACCACTAATTTAGCGCCCTGAGTCTCTCCCGAAGGCGAAATAAAACATAATGGTAGGATAGAATGTGATTTGCCAATGTATGGAAGGGCAGAAAAGCTACTGGCATGCTTCCAAAGATCATATCTCCGAGCGAAAGTGCAATGACTAAATGTTAGCCAAATCATCAAAGTATTACCAGAACCACTTTCAGCGGCGGTTGACTAACAAATAAGTTTTGTCATTCCTGACTACAAAAATCCTGTCTTACTATAAGCCAAAACAGTAGAATATACTTTTCAGATCTTTGTCAGATTAATATTGTGTTTTTTAGTTTAAATTATTATAAAACTCAAGGCCCGAAACCAGACAGATGTCACAGTAGGAGACTTGGCAACTTTCCCATTGCATGAAAAAAGGACCTGTCAAGGTTTTGCTGAAAGTTGCCACTAGGCCTGGATCAGTGTCTACCCATCAAGTAGTTGAAGCCGTCAAAATATCGGCAAAGATAAAAGTCTTATTTTATTAGGCGACAGCAAAATTTACCTTGTCTTCGCCCTCATCTCAAAATATGCTTGTGAAAAATTCGATTGCAAAAGTAGTAAAGTAGTAGTAAAGGCGGTATTGATTTAAAAAGTGACATTGTGATCGACAGGAGAGAGACGTCGGCAAAATTCAGCTAAAATGACATCGAGATTCGTCGTCAATGTTGTATATTTTTAGCACTACTTATTGTTTAGTTAACACAGGACTGCATGTTACCCCTTTGGTTATTTCCTTTTAAAGCAATATGTTTGGATAAAGGCTAATGAATTTCAAACTGTTATCTTTAACTATAGTGTTCATTTAGAGCGAGTGACACAAATGGTTTGAGGTCAATGCTTTCACAATATTGCGATTGCATAGCCTTGACAGGCAAGCAGCTAGGCAGTTGAGTTCTGTGTGCATTCTCATCGTAAACTTGCCATGAATCCTGTGCATTTATTACCATGCATTAAACGATCAATGGAGGCGATGGTTTTCCAGAAAGGAGGCCAACGGAAGCACCAGGTGGTGATGAATGCAATGATTAAAACTGCTAGATCACAAGAGCAAGAAATGGTACCGTCATTTTGTAAAAAAATGAGTAAACTTGACACCTAAATATTTCAAGGTAACCCATGGAAGAACTTTTATTGAACAGATAAGCTTTAAATGGCTAGAAGTAGGGTTCAATAGTTTTACTCCTGGGGTTTATCTTAGAATTAAAAGGGCTGGTGCAAACAGATTATTAGGGCTCATAAGTGGGTGTAATCTAAATAAACCCTGATCACAATTTGTATTCTTTTTTAAACGAATTTGAAAGTTACTTATCTGTTACCACCTTGATTACTGTCTAGTCTTTACACCCCTTACTTCAACAACACATCTTTGGTTGAAGCCTAACTTGATAACAAGAGCTAATACGTCTTTTATTGTCATCGTTTTCTTAATCTCGGTCTGATTTGCGGTTTTTTCAGGGAAAAGTCGCCGATTTGTGCACATCCTTAAAGTTTAGTGCACAAGTTATAATTTCTACCCATCCCCTACTTCGAATAAACGATTGTTTGTTAGATGATTGACAGCAGTACAACCTTACTTTCAGCCATAATTTTGCGCGCGTAGATAGTAAATTCAAAACAAATTCATCCTCAATTGATAGGATTTTCGGCACAAGGCAGTAGAAAATGCGTCCTGGACTAACTTTTGTGAGGTTAAATGACCCCTAAGGAGTAAGCTGGTTGCCTTTCTGCAGAAGAATTGGCAATTAATGTCTCATGCTCAGCAACCATTCCAGACTATTTCACTCACGTTTAGGAAGTGGTCACTCTCGTGCTACCACATTTCACCTGCCATTCAAGCAATTGATATTTTACTGAGCAAACATTTGCCATGTAGTTTAAACAGAACAAATCCGAAAAACAAACATTGACAGGAGTCAGAAACTGCCTCTTGGTAGCAGGAAACAATTTGTCCTCTGTACTAGTTGCGTTTGTGTATGTAATGGTTTCGCATGTACCCTATATGCATTATAACCCAAAACGGAATAGGGAATGTGCTGGCCTATTAATTCGAGGAGTAATGTGACTTCCCGTTAGCTCTTCTGATGAGTCTGCTATATGCTTTGGAACCGAGCCTTTAAGGCATTGCTTAGAATTTGACAATTCAGTTTGGAATAATATCTTTTAAATGCAAACATTATTGAAGTGAATTTTAGATATTTCCTCACGTCGGGGGCAGACTTTATAACAAACAGAACACTAAAGCAGATTTTATCAGTGTGGGTTGAGTTTATCGAGAATCACTGCTGATTTTATACAATAATTAGAAAGTGAATTATTTGAACTAGGCGCTTGTTTGGAATGCAACCTAATAAACACTCAAGGTTGAAGATTTGTAGGTATTTTTGCAGAGGAATAGGCTATAGAGATAATAAAACGATTTTTGGAGGATCACTGAGTGCATGAAAAAAAGTTGTTTGCAAACCACACACCCAATTCCTTCCTTTCAAATGCCCTAACAGTGACCACAAAATCACAAAATATGCCATTTAGACATACCTTTTGTTAGACAAGTGTTAAAAAACACTGCTGGTTTCTTTCGCTCACCTACACATTCTTTATGTGATTTAATAATGAATAAAACAGCATATTTCAGCTTTTACCAGTGAAGAGTTTAACAGACTGGAACCTCTCATTGTTGTCCCGTATTATGGGAGAAATCAAACCTCCCCCATTGTAAAATAGCCCAATATATGTAGTTGGTTCCTTTGGGGACATTAAAATAACTTCTGTTTGAGGTTTTCTCCACCCTCACATCTGTAGAATATTTACCAAGTCTGAAGGCCGTCACAAGGTTGTAGCAACAATAGGTAAACAGCTTGCCACGAAGCAAGCCAAGATTAGGAATTTGTGTTTCAGGGGCGAGGTAAAAGACCTGATGAAACAGTCACCCTAGTGACAATTGGATAGGCAGCATTTACAGCTTTGATATTTGAAAAACAGCCACCTAAACACTAGTCCTTTTTTGCCTTGTCAAACTGTGCTAGCCGTAGGCGCAGTTGGAATCGTGGTAGCAGAGAAAAGATGGATGAATGAATGAATGAATGCGTTTTTGCATTGCTAGCTGGACTAAAAGATTGATCAAAGGTGGTATCTGGAATAGTGGAATGGATGGAGAGGGTAGATAAATAAGTAAAACTGACGGGCTGAGATATATCCAGGTGATAAAGTAAGAGAATCCCTATAGGTGCCATTCGAATACCTACCTACTCATCGTACTTATATCTAAACTGAGCAAGAGAGAAACTCACACGCTACTAAAGTTACCAACATTCTAAGCAGTTAAACACATTTACTCTCATGCAGTTGACGCTAAAGACGGCTAACTCAAACACTGAATCGCTTTGTCATAAGGGTTCTTAATAATAGGTAAAATAGCCCTCCTCCCAAAAAAGGAGCATAATTTGAACCCAACTTAGGTGTTTTGGATTGATCTCATCTCAACAAAAAGTTCAGTTTTGCCTTTCAATTAAACTATTTAAACTAAAAAGGGAAGATGGAATTCACCTGCATCACTATGCGTGAGCCAGATAGATATGCCATCCGTATTATTGACACCGCCATAGAAGGTCATCAGTGGTCACAACCATAGCCAAATCTGATCACTGTCCGTAAACAGGTGAAGAGCCCTCAAGTCGAACAAGCCCTCACACCAAAATCATTTGATATCTTGCAGAGACTTCAACAGCTGACGCCCTCGTTAAGCTACCTATGTCACTGACCAGGGCCACCGTAACAGTTGCTCAAGCCGCCACAGATTATTACCCTAATCCAATTATCATATTTCCTGCTTTAAAACCAGGTTTTCAGCATCTCCAAGTAAATTGATGTCTGTTTTAGGACAATCCAGAGCTTCTTGAAAAAATTGTCACTCGAATTTTTCAGGATGAACCGGTCGCAAAAAGGGATTAAACAAGGAAACAGGCAAGCACTACATGTGATGACAGGGTCAGTGTCACTGGGTCCATTCAAAGAAAAGGCTAAAGCTGTTAAGACAGGAGAAGAGTCGAATGCTCGGTAGGTATAATTCACTCATACGGAGGCAAACGTGATATCGAAGTACGGTTGGTTGGCCGTTCATTTGCATCACCCTAGACCTTCTCATATTCGCCGACCTTCTTAGCCAGACATGCAGCGCAGATAATAGCGCCGACTTGAATGAGGCCAATGACGATAATTATGATGCCGAAGACCAGGGCAGAATCCTTTATCTCGTTATACATGGCTTCAGCGCAACCCTAGATTTCGGCATTTTATCTGCACAAGTTCCTCTGGACTTACAGTTTTGAAGGGATGCGTGCAGGATCCAGTCTTTCTACCACAGCAAGATGGAGGAATAGCGCTCCAATCACCTGGACCAGTTCCACCGCAGCAATTTAGCTAAAAGAGCTAATAACCCAAACCAAAACATACCTTCATTTGCAGTTCATAAAGAGCTTTCAGTGTAGGGTCGGAGCCTGAAAGAGATCCACTTCCCAACCCTTTAATCGCTTCTTTCAATTTTTCCCCAACAAGGCGAACGAACTAGAGGTATCACTTAAGTAATAGATACAGTCGAAACCTACGTCGTGACGATAGGCAAGAAGAACAATGCCACATATGATCTCTGCGATCAGCAGAATACCAACAATGGCTGCAAACTAGATGGTGTAAGCTAAGACGAACGAAGTCCTTACCGTTTTTAGCATGCAGGGGTTGTTATAGCAAGCCCCGAAGCATCCCATGAAACCGATAAGAAATAGCAACAGACCAAAGGCAGTAATGAAGGCAGGAAGGACCATAGACACTGTACCTCCAGACTTGTTAGTCTCAACCAAGAGGTAGATACCGAAACCGGCAATCACGCCACCTCCGATCTGAAACACAAAGCCATAAAGATGGGACACTCCCGATTTGATTAGATCGGTTGACAGGTTGCAACCCTAGCGCTTTGCTTACAAAGACAATGGCATTGAAGAAGAAGACAAGGAATCTGAGGAAGTTACCACCGCAAGACAGAGCCATCTCAACGCCTCGACCGTGCGAATTAATGCGTGGGTGATGATGGCTGGGCTTTTATTCGGTCTACACTAGACAACACAAAATCGATGCTCACTAGACACCGCTGGCCAATAATGTGAGGCCAAATTGCTGCATGCTGGTGTGTGTGTGCATGCCGCTCTAGCCAATGAGCAAGCGAAGGCGTGTATGAGAATATGGCGACATGATTGGAGGTTCGTGGGGTGAACTAAGTTCGTCAACTGACTAATCAGGCAGGGCGAGCATGCTGTGGTGAGGATGCCACAACAACCCTGGAGGTGCGTGGTTCTGGAAAATAAAGACACGACGAATACATTAAGAAGATGGCATTTTGCTACCTCCTGTGTTCATTGTTATTACCTTGGAATTGAGGTTAGTGAACTGACGATACGCTTCCAGTGTGTTTTGGATTAGTGTGCTGGGCGGAGTATATGTATGCGCTTAACTCAATTTATATTGCCTCGTAGAAAGTAAATGCAAAGCTATCACAATCATGTTCAGACGGGTCCGGAAAGCGTCTGAGGTGGCGGTATTGGTGTTTTCTTCGCTAGGTATCCGTAAGTCACCTCCCATTTCATACCTTGGTAGAGGTTCAGTGTTCCAACCCCTAACCCTTCGGTGTACATTAAGCATAAGTTTATGCGAAAGTGACAAATTCACTCCTTTCATTTTGCGATGCGTGCACACACTAATTGCCAGTGTCACACATATGTGACAAATTTGACCAGAATAAATTAAGAGAGGCAAAAGAGACAACTAGATTAATGACAACCGGTGTGTGTGTGTGCGTATCGACTTTCCTGTGTGACATCGTAGTTGACAGTGTTGTAATATGTCTCCGTTCAACACGCAATGCCCGAGAAATGCGCCTATTTTACATGGTGGTCACAATTTATCCATATTCTAATATGTATCAAAGTATCCCGATAACATAAAAGAACCTAGGTCTAACTTTATCAAATACTCATATTTTCCTTAAAATATGCGTGTTTTAGTAAGTAATAAAGCCGAAAATCACCTTTTTGTGATTAGATTTAGGATCT